TCATTTAAATGTCAGAAATAATTTCCAACAGTTGTTTTTATCATATATAGTCAGATAAATGTCACAAAATTGTATTAAAATGTGTGTTTTATTTATGACATCTGAATCCTTCATATAAAAGAACTCATGGTGTAAAAAGGGTAATTCAAAGTAATTAAACAGTAACATCTGAATTGATTTTCAGACCTTCAGATTTTCTCTCAGAGCTGAGAGTGGTGCCCCTTCAAAATAAAATTCATAACGAATTTTTAATCATTATTAACCCTTCCCGCTACACAGCCAATGAAGCAACCAAGCCTGACTCAGCCGACGAAGCAGCATCAACCAGACCCAGCTGACATCCCTCTCCTAGACTACTTAAATTCTACGGATAAGTCTCATAGTTAACTCACCATTAAACATAAACAACTTAAAAATTTGTTGTTTATAGCATCACTCAACACAGACCTGCATTATCAAAGAACCACTCTATCCATCGCAGAAAAATTGTAGTTTCCCAACCTGGATTCCTTTCGATCCCAAACTACTATCACTTTATCAAAATAAGAACTTCTAAGGAACAATACATCAGCCCATATATTTCCAATTCTCCTGTGTCGCCAGTATTTCCCTTACCACCATCATTTGCTCCTTACGTCCCTGTGGGTGTTGGCTGTAATGACCCATCTCCTTCATGCGTTTACAAGATGGTCCAGGAGGATAGTTCTCACTCATCCTTCAAGAGGGTCTAGGATGACCCCTCTCACTCTTCCTCTGAGAGGGTCCAGGTGGATACCTCTCACTCTTCCTCTGAGAGGGTCCAAGAGGACACCTCTCACATGTTCTCAGAGAGGGTCCAGGAGGATGCCTCTCACTCTTCCTCTGAAAGGGTCCAGGAGGATGCTTCTCACTCTTCCTCTGAGCCTCCTATGGGTCTAGAGCCTCCTTTGGGTCCAGAGTCTCAAGAGGTTCCCACATCTCTAGAGGTTCTCACATCTCCAGAGGTTCCCATGCCTCCAGAGGTTCCCACATCTCCAGAAGTCCCCAAGTCTCCAGAAGTCTCTGAGTCTCCATAGGTCCCAGAGTCTCTAGATATTCCTGAGTCTCCAGACATCCCCAAGTTTCCAGAGGGTCACAAATCTCTAGAGGATCCTATACCTCTTAAGGGTTACATGTCTCCCGAGGGTTCCACACCTCCTACAGTCCCAGAAGTGGCTATGTCTCCTGCAGACCCTGAGGTAACTATGTCTCCTGCAGTCACTGAGTTAGCTATGCCTCCTGCAGTCCCTGAGGTAACTACGCCCATTGCACCCCCTGATGTAGTTACACCCACTGAAGCCTGTGAGGTAGCTATGTCTGATGCTACCCTTGAGGTTGCTATGCTTGCTGCAGCCCCTGAGATAGCCATGCCCGCTGCAGTCCCTGAGGTAGCTATGTCCATTGCAGCCCCTGAGGTTCCTTTGCTGCCACAGATCAGCTGTTTCAACTGCCTGCTGACACTCTGCTAGTTTCATCATCAACGGCAGACCCCTTGTCTGATACATCAGCTGCAACCTCCCTGGTCTCTACACCAGTTGCAGATTCCCTGGTCTCTATGCCAGCTGCAGCCTCCCTGGTCTCCTCGTCAGCTGTAGTCTCCATGTTCTCTCCATCAGCTTCACCCTCCCTGGTCTCTACATCAGTTGCAGCCTCCCTGGTCTCCTTGCCAGCTGCAGTCTCCCTGGTCTCCATGCCAGTTGCAGTTCCCCGGTCTCTACACTAGCTGCAGCCCCCTAGGTCTCTGTACCAACTGCAGATCTGCTAGTTCCATCTTCTGCTGCAGATCTGTTGGTTCCATCACCTACTGCAGTTCTACTAGTTCCATCACTTACTGCTGATCTCCTGTTCTCTTTCTCTGCTGCACATCCCTTGATCTCTTCACCTGCTGCAGATCCCCTGGTCTCTCTGTTTGATGCAGAGTTGCTGGTCCTTCTGCCAGCTGCAGAGCTGCTGGTCCCTTCGCTTGCTGCAGAACCGCTGGTTCCTTTGCATGCTGCAGAGCTGCTGGTCCCTTCGCCTGCTATAAAGCTGCTGATCCCTTCACCTGTGACAGAGCTGCTGGTCCCGTCTCCGGCTGCAGAACTGCTGGTTCCTTCACCTACTGCAAAGCTGCTAGACCCTCCACAACTCTCCCAGTTCTTATCACTGATTCACCAGCAGCCACAGCCTTTCTAGTGGTCTCTTCACCAGCATAAATGGTCTCTCCACCGGCCTCTTCACCTGCCGTCACAGCCTCTCCAGTGTTCTCTTCGTCGGCTGCTTCAGCATCTACAGTGGGCTTTTCATCTGCCACCACAACATTTCCAGTGGTCTCTTTGCTTCCTTTCACCCTAAGTCAGAGAGGGTTCATGCACATGCAGACACAGTTCCTACCCCCCCCCAGTGATGGACGGTCTCCTGGCCACCCACCACCCACTGCAGCTCCTGACCAGTGATAGATGGTCTCTTATATGCCCGCTAGAGGTCCTGCCCTGTGATGGACAGTCTCCTGGCCGCCCAGCTGAACTGTTGTCCCATGCTGGATGGACTTCTGGCCGTTTGCCCAAGCCGTTGCCCTGGTGGTCTCAACACCCTTCGTTCCACTAATTCCAAGGGGCCCCAGGTGTACATCTCTGGCCAGTTATGGACTGATGCCTGACCATCGAACTGAATTTTTGTTTTGCTTTTGTTCTTGTGTTCTCCCTTGTCCGAGAGTCCGAGTGTCAAAGTTTCTTTATTTGTCATTTGCACCATATGTGGTACATTTGGTAAAATGAAATTGTGTACACAGGGTCCCAGTTACATCCAACAATAAAATGTAAAAGAAAAACAGTAATAGGATCTAAGATATGAACTAAGAAAAACATTAAACAAAAATACGCTAATCACTAATAGCATAAAAACAAAACGCTGAACAGCAGCATGAACATGAGTCTGTGTGAGCAGATGAGTACGAATGAACACAGCAACATGAAATAGATCAGCAGCAACATGATGTGATTTTTCACAGTGACTATCAAGATTAGAGATTCATGGGTATAACAGCCTCAGGGTAGAAACTGTTCCTCACTCTAGTGGTTTTATGTTTAATCCTCTTTAACCTCCTTCCTGAGGAGAGCGGGGCAAAATGTGTTTATGCTGGGTGAGTGGGGTCCTCCGTGATACAGGTGGTCCTCTTCCTGCATCTGGAGGTGTAGATGTCTGTGATGGGGGAGAGGCTGACTCCAACAGACTTCTGTAGAGCCTTCACCACTCTCTGCAAAGATTTTCTTTCTGCAGCTGTGCAGCCTCAATGCCATACGTTGATGCAGTAGCACAGGATGCTCTCCACTGCACACCTGTAAAAGGAGGTGAGGACTGTGCTTCCAAAATGAGCTCAACTCAGCCGCCTGAGGAAGTAGAGTCTCTGATGAGCTTTCTTGATCAGGCTGGTAGTGTTGTTGCCCCAGCTGAGGTTGTCATTTAGGTGCCCACCGAAGTACTTGTAACTAGAGACCACTTCCACCACAGAACCTATGTTCGTGGGGGGGGGGGGGGGGGTGTCGGTGTGTATGTTCCTTCTGAAGTCCACGGCCATCTCCTTCATCTTTGTCACAAAGATGTGAAGGTTATTCTCCTTGCAGCAGCTCTCCTAGTGTTCTACCTCCTGCCTGTAGCTGGACTCGTTGTTTGCGATGCATCTCACCACCACTGTATCTGCAAACTTTATAATTTGACAGCCTGGATGGATTGGTGTACAATCATACATGAGCAGAGTGAACAGGAGAGGGCTCAACACACAACCCTGTAGGGATCCAGTGCTGATGGTTATGGTGGAGAAGAAGTTGTGGATCCTCATTGACTGTGGTCTGTTTGTTAAGAAGTCTAGGACCCAGTTGCAAATGAAGGGGCTGAAGTTTGTCCATCAGGGTTTGGGAGATCACAGTATTGAAGGCAGACATGAAGTCCACAAAGAGCATACGGACGTAGGAGTCCTGCTCCAGGTGGGTGAGAGCAGTGCAGACCACAGAGGAGATTGTGTCCTCTGTTGATCGATTCTCTCAGTATGTATTTTGGTGAGGGTCCTCATTGATGTTAATGTTAGTTTTGATGTGGGTCATGACCAGTTTTTTTAAGTATTTAGCGACTATCGGGGTGAGGGCTACTGGACGATAGTCATTCAGACCAGTCACTGTAGAGCTCTTTGGGATTGGGATGATGGTTCTGGTCTTCAGGCAGGTGAGAACTGTTGCCAAGGTAAGTGAAGAGTTAAATATGTCAGCCAGCACATCGCAGAGCTGATCAGCACAGTCTTTGAGCACCTTTCCGGGGATGTTGTCTGGGCCAGTTGCTTTGTCATGGTTAATCCTCATGAAAGTACTCCTCACTTCGGCTGAGGTCACGGTGAGAAGCTTTTCTTCTGGTGGTGAGGTGAGTGTGATGCTGGGTGGTCTGTTTGGGTCTTCAAAACGTGCATCGAACTTGTTGAGGGCATCAGGCAGTGATGGGTCTCTAGGGCATTGTTCACTCCTGTGTTTAAAATCTGTTATACACTTAATGCCCCTCCACAGGCTCCGTGGGTGTTGTGAGGTTACTTGACCCTGGATCTTCTGTGCATATGTAGCCTTGGCCCACTTAATACCAGCAACCATCTATTTCCTTGTTCTTCCCAGCTCCTGTGAGTTTCCAGACCTGAAGGCGGTGTTCCTGGCTTCCACCAAGGTGCGAACCTCTGCATTCAACGAAGGCTTCCTGTTATGGTAACTCTTAACATATCTGATGGTAGTGATGTCATCAGCACATTTACTAATGTACCCCAAGACTAAGGATGAGTATTGTACTAGGCCTAGCGCTCCCTCATTTTCAGCAGCTTCTTTGAAGACCTGCCAGTCTGTGTTCAAAACAGTATTATGGTATGGGCCCACTATTCTGCATCCAAGATATAACTTTCTTTTGTACCGGTCTGGAGGATCTCAGCAGGGGGCTTACCTCCCAGAAGCAGGAACCAGGAAGATGGAAGTGTGATCAGAGTGTCCTAAGTGAGGGTGGGGTTCGGCTTTGTATGCATCTTTTTCGTTTGTGTAAACAGTCCAGAGTGTTGTTTCCACGTGTTTGTTTGTATGGCCAGATGCTGATAAAATCATGGCAGGCGGACCTTTAGCTTTATATGATTAAAGTCACCAGCGACCACGTAAAGAGCCTCAGGGTGTTTGCTTTACAGAAAGCTGAAATGATCTCGCAGAGCGTTGATAACATTAGCATCTGGGGCTATTTATACAGCTGTTACGAACACCGCTGTGAACTTTCAGGGTAGATAATATGGTCGACAGTTCACTGTTACTGCTCAAAAGCCGTGAAGCAATGACAGCTTATCAGCATACAGTTTGTGCACCAACTTTTACTCACGTAAATGCATACTCCGCCTCCCCTCAATTTCCCTATTACCTCGTTACAGAAGTCCACTCAAAAAAAGTGTCTGTCATCCAGCTAGAAAGCTGAGTCCAGCATGTCGCTGTTAATTCATGATTCCGTGAGAAAAAGCACTGCACATATCCTCATCTCCTCTGAGGCACCCACTCTCAGACAAAGCAAATCCATGTTGTTGTCCAAAGAGTGGACATTCGACAGAAAGAGAGAGGGTATTGGGTGTCTGCCAGCTTTAGCATTAGCTCTTAGCCTTACTAGAACTAAGAGCCCGCCATGCTCTCGGTCCCCCCCCCCCTCTTCCCACCTGAGTTGTGTGTGATGATCTTGGGATGTCAAGGGTAGGGTTGGGCATCGAGGATCGACAATTGACAGGAAATGAGACTAACTGTCCGGTTTTCCCAGAATCGTTCAAAATATTTATTTTCGATTCCAACTTTCAATACCTAGTCCACCAACTGGAAGTAGAAGCCGCCTGCCGAACACCAACGAAGAAGAATCAGCCTGCCGAAAACCAATAAAGAATCCACCAGAAGTGTTCGCATATGTGGAGAGTGACTGGCCACGATCGAAATCGTGGCTTTACTTTAATAAAATGATCAGTCAGCTCAGTACAGTACTTGCAATAATTTTACATCATGCAAAGGAGGGTGTAGAAGTAAAAGTGTGGACCGTCTTTGAAGCGCTCTGCTGGACTATTTTCGCTGTCTCCTTCTCTGGCTCTATCAGGTAAATAAAACTATAAACTACGTCTCATGCCAACATTAAGGTAGCTAACAAGTTATACTCGACTTAAAGTGGTAGGTCAACTCAAATGCAAACAGCATGCTAACGTTAGCTCATGTATTTTTTCATAAGCAAACAACCTGAAATGGCTATAATGTTAGCCAGGCTCCACGATGTGCTCCTCTGTTCACCATAGCATCCAAGGAAATACATTGGTGCAACTAACTGAATGAAGAGTGCCACAGAATGGTTATCACATATAATGTGAAAAGGTTGCATCCCTTTTCAGATGTGGAATCACCAACATTTAGGTTAGTTAGGCAATAATTCAATTCAATTCAATTCAAAAATACTTTATTAATCCCAGAGGGAAATTATATGTTGGGTAACTCATCATCCTGGTTTCATTAATGGGTTGTTATAAATGCTGATGGCTGTGGGCAGGAAGGATCTCTTGTAGCAACCTGTCCTACAACGGATTTGAAGAAGCCTCTCACTGAAGACTGTTGTTGTATGACAGTCTGATGAAGAGGATGCTGAGGGTTGTCTATAATGTTCTTCATTTTATGAAGAATCCTTCTTTGTACAATCATCTCCAAAGGTTCTAG